GCTCGATTATTCTTCGCATATTTGTTTCATTTGCGTGTGACAAATCTGTGATCAGTAAATTAGCCAGGTGGTCAGCACTAGTCACACTACCAAAGCAATCCGTCACCCTTTGAGGCACAAAACATTTAAGACCAGCTTATGATAACTCCATGGAGAGCTTCTGTTCCAACAGGCAAGGTTGTTTAAATGAACGGTTATGCGTGTACAATTCCAGGTACGAGGTATAACTCACGTAGTATGCGCTGGTAGTTAGGATCAACTGAAAGAAAGAGAAACAGATTGGACGGTGGTTTTTCAATAAGCATTGTCAGCAGAGAGAAAACGAAAAAGAAATTTAGGTGCAATAGTTGCAATGCCAGTGTACAGATTTGCAGCCCTCGTGCGTTTGCTCGATATTACAGTTTCCGTTTTGCATAGAAAGTGAGCAAAAACGAGCAAGTGAATCTAAGTTCATCTGAAATAATTTGGGTATTGAGCATTTAATTTTTCTGCCGGTATATTGTGTGTTAATGCGTCCCCGGAGCATCGGAAATTTCCTAAAATGTCTGTCAGGAGTATGCTTATCCCCTGGGATAAATATATATGCACGTGTTTTCTGCAAGTAGCGGTAATGGGGTTAATGGTTGTTACCTTAAAGCCATTGACTGAGAGATTTAGCGTTAGAATTTGCCTATCGAGCTGGATGGAACGCCATCCTCAAAATTATGCAACAACTTAGAGCAAACATAATAACTACTGCTTTTTGTCCATTTTGATGCCGTTTGAAGTAAGTGTACTTTACTCAAATAGTAACGGTTTCATTGTAAACATGGCTTTAATCAACTCACGCAAAGCATTCTTTTTCCATTGGCTTTTGATGGTTTCTAAAGCAAGGTTAATGGATAAATGTGGTCTGACATATGTCAAATTAATACTCAATTTATTCGAGAAAATGGAAAACTGCATTGCTTTATGTGCGAAGGTTTTTCACCAGGTCAATATCTAGGCTTAGGTTAGTTAAGGTCACTAACTAACTATGCTGGACGAATTAACTTGCGAAAGCAAGTAGTACGCCCTGGCATGTCGGTTTGTTGTTGAAGACCAATGTATTTGATGAGTTTGCGAACTATATTTCAAATATTATTCTAAGAAACTGCAACATTATCGAGGCACACATATGGTGCACGCTCAATGCTAACTATTACACTATGGTTTAAGGGTTTTTAGTTAAGTAACTTTGCACGATGAGAAGTAGTTCTTTTTTTATTTCCCGCTACAGCACAGACTAAACCAATGGAATTGTTTTATTCAATTGTTATTTGGTTTACACCAATGTCTGCAGCTCCCGTTTTTGCTCTTCTATAATACAGTAAACTAACGTTAAAACGGGTTTAAACGAAGTTCATTAAATATTCACATGCAGGCGCAATATAGATGGGTTTAGGAGAATATTTGAATTAAATCCAGTGTTCACTGCATTAGCTAGACACGAAGCTCACCTCAATCCATGAGTAAGTTACATGCAGTATGATGTGAAAAAGTAAGAAACGCCTGCAAAACTTCCCCTCCCCAAGACAAGCGATGGATAAAATCAAATGTGTGAACTATTAAGGTGCAGTACTTAACAGTGAAATGTCAATCGGAATGGCTTAAAACAATAACCAGAATAATTTTCATAAATATTGAAAATGATATAAATTTTGACACATTCGAGGTAGGAATTATCTAGACAGCAACCAACAAGCAGTGTATGACGGCGCTTACTAGCACCGTCGTTGATTTGAAACGACAAATTTTCTCGAAACAGGAAGCCCAGATGCAGGAATGACTGGCTTTCATTTGAAGGTTGTCTTGTAACATGTTTTGTAAGCTAACTACAACAGTGCTGCATATTCGTTTGCTTAATGACAGTTACTGAAGTTGAGGCAAATGTGTTTAGGATACTAAAGCTATTTGCACAACAATGCCGCCCAGCATGTCGACGAAATTAGCTTAATTAATCTGTTTCCAGTATAAAATCTCTCTTGCAAACCTAGTTGTCGTCTCCTCTAAATAAGTGTACACCCAAAGAAGGATTGTATGTTTCCCTTAGCTTGTAGCAATCTGTTAACTCCCCATTGCTACTTTGAAATATATTTATGATGCCCCCATACCGGATTTACAAATCACATTCGCCCAAGGAAGCATCACACTAGTACACCTTCTTATGTTTGGTTCGTACAGAATGGCTAATTATAGTGGTTCCCTAAGTACATTTGTAAAATCGCTTCCATTTCCCCCTTAATTGTACCGTTTTTAAACAACACATTAGGGTTAATATACTCCTAAACAGCTGACTCGTGTATAGTTTTGTTGTTGTGAGTAACCCAAACATTCTATGGGAATTTACCAGAAACCGCTGCTGAGTACGAAATATACATTTGTGGAAAGGACAGAGAAACGTTGGCGGGGAAGCGAAGAGCGATCTGCCACAATTATCGCCACGTGTATTGCTGCACAATACATAAGTGGTCTATCTAAAGGAACTGCGTACTGGCGCATATCATCTGCACTGGGTGTAAATACGAGAGAAGCTTTAGTCTTTAACTTCAGTGATCAACCTAAATGCGATATATACTGCAATTTTAACGCAATCCATATGTATTCGCAAACAACTCTGTACACATTGGCATAAGAGGTATTTTCTCTGAAGTTGTAGGTCAGTTATTACAGAGTGCTAACTGCGTAAACGTTTCGACAAGCGAGAACAATTGCTTACCTGGACTGTATCTGAGATGGAAACCGGCCCACGTATTCCCATAGTCGCTGATGAATAACAACGACACTTTGTTCCGCTTAGAGCTGATTGACAGTGGTTGGTTTGGACCAGACACAACTGTAAGCCTTGGTGCCATGCAGTCCGGACCGTCAAATATGACCAAATAGTCGAATAGGTATCGACTACTGTGTTCCAACTGAAAGTATCGAAAGCTTTTGTAAATTATTCGAAAAAGTCTGGATCAATTTGACGACTTACAGGCGATGGTACATTTGTTTTTCGGAATCGAACTTGAAATTTTTTCCTTAAATTAATCACCAACAATCTGCTGCTCAGTTTTCATAATTGCGGTGATGCCTATGTTTTTAGTACTATCTTGGTGACATAATGCTTATTAATCACTGGTTGGTTAGAAAAGCTTTGGTAAAAAGGCCACATGATATTGCAAATTCCAAAAATGGTTACGGATAAGTTTTCTAGGATACATCTAATCCCATCGTTGAACAGTACTTAATTTGTCGGGGTCCCCGGAAAGGTTGCTCGAATGTGATTCGCCAGGTTGCGCTGGAATATGTGTGCCAAAAAGCACTCGATGTATTCGCTCATTGCCCTATGTGTAAGGTTGTAGTTGTGTTAGTAGGTTCTGACTTAGAAGTTACGTTAGAGCGTCAGGTCGTACTAACGCAATCGTCGAATTTAGGTTAATTAGAAATTCTACATGAATGTTGGCTCCGTTGTTATGTTGTACCCAATGATGGTTGCAACATTTTTCCAATCCTGGTATAAATCTTTAGTGATCTAATTTGTAGTTTTGAAGTCTCCATGGACAATGGGACTTTGTGTAGAAAGCACCCATTCTGAAATCTTCCTTAGCTCCAAAAATTTGTATACTGAATTAAGAGACTGCTAATCAGCCGGGGTTGAATTTTGTTCACCTCAGGGAAACCAGCGGAATTCTGGCCGTTGTAAGAGTGAATTAATGTCACCAATTTGGACTGGGAGACTGTGTGTATTTCAGCGTTAATAGCTGACCGGAAGAGAAGAATGTCGTTAGTTCCATTAAGGGTTCCCCACATTTTCTAGCTATGTCAAAGCATTTCCATGTATCGGTCTATTCGTCTTCCATTGACAAGCGCTCGCATAGTTTTGAGTCAAAGCTACCAACGACTAATGTCATTAAAATCATTGTCTCTTCGAAGTGGGTTGGTATGATTTTGTCTTAAGAGCAGTCAGCGTGAATGCGAAGAGTTACATTTAAAGTATCATGTAACCAACTGTGACGCTTTGCTTCATGAAATCACAAAAAACAAAAGACTGTTCCTAAGTATTGTTTGACTGCAAATTTAGAAGCTAGAAGCTAGAAAAAGATCCAGAGCTAGAAGAAGATCCGGAGCTAGAAAAGCACAGAAACAATCTTGAGCTTGCCTCACCCTCAAAGATTGCTCTCATGTGGCAGCTTTCCTGTTCAACTTCCTTTCAAATCGAAATGCTTTACATCACTTGCGACAATTTTTCAAGCAAAAAGAATGTCAACACATAATTTCCACAGCATTTTAAAAATGTCATCGTACTGTATTTGCAGTCCATCTTATTGGAAGCATGCGCTTAGAAAGCAAGACATAGAAGCTCTTCCTAGGTTTAGAATGTTTTTGTCCGAACTGCTCACAAGCTACATAGCAAAGCCTAGTCCGGAAAGCACCATACGTGTTTCGCCTCATTGGAGCTCGACAGTGGTGCGCATTCCCTCGGTCCCCTACTAGGTAATAAACCCATGAATGCTAGCGGCTAGCGCCACTTAGCCAGCAGCTTAAGCCACTGAGACATGGGCGACGTCGGCTGGGCTACACAATTTGTAAGCTCTTCATAGTTTGTCAGAATTTGCTGTGCTGTTGCAAGGGCGTTCCTTAGCCTCAACTGGGTTGTCCTGCAATCGCTAAAAGCAAGTGCTTTGCTTGTAGAGGTTTCTGCTTCAAGTTGTTTCCCGGTATTTAAGTAGCTCAAAGGTTCACACATTAAAAACCCAGTAGTTGGAGGACGCAAACTGGAGTTATATTTGTTGCGTTGATCTGTGTCTCTTAGCAAGGCGTGAACTCTTCCCGTATTCTGGACAAGGTGCCAGCAGAATGTAAATGTCCCAGCCTTGGAAAGTATGCAAGCCATTTCATTGTGGAGACCCACTGAGCTGTTTTCATGGCATTTCATCAACCATCAAACCGGCTCGTGATGTTGGCTATGTATCATTTGCTGCGTTCCACTTTAACCTTGCGTATGCAATTTTATAAGAAATTTTGTTTGATTTATAGAAGAATCGAAAAGACTAGACAGGCGGTATATTGCATAGGAAGCAAAATAAACGCAATGTAAGACACGTGTGAATTTACAGGCTTAATTTACAAATACTGAGAAATAATCACCAAAGCCATATTGCGTAGCCATAAGGAATAATCTAAAATCAGCGTGATGGAGGATGCTTAAGCGATGAACGATAGCAATATATCCGAAAGCAAAGTATAGAAAAGGACGTCTTTTTTCGAAAAAACAAGAAACTGTGAATTAAAATGCAATAGGTTATGTGCAAGAGGAAGTCGGTCAACCAGAAGCCATGAGTACAGCGTAGATAAACCAAACGGATGACAATAATGACGGTTTAATATTTACATAATGAGTTCATTTGCAACTGTCTATGTTAGTAAAACGTAGAATACACTTTTGTATCTAATACAAGTAGCTTTTACTTGGTTTCTGTAGCTTACTGGGAACGAGTTTGGCACGTTATCATGCGGTGTGGTTTCGAATCCGCGGAGCAGTCAGTGTGTTCTGGCGTACTCAGCTCACTTGCGACTGCTGGTGTTTGCACGACAGCGGAACGCCGTTAAGGGAACCAGCTGACATATGTTACTTTTTACAATGGTTAATTTATTAGCCAAGTAATTAACTGGTTCCATATCCTTATTATTATTATTACTAATCATACTCATCATGAGTTATCTATATTACTAAAATTTCGTTTTCAAAACCTTCTATGAATCAATCGCAAATAACACGTTACAGACTTGTCTACAGTCATTGAAATAATACGTCGCACTAAGCGAAATATTATATAGGTTTTCCAGTTACATTCAACTATCTCGGCTATTTTTACTCTACACTAATCTCATATGAATGCAGCCTGATTTTCTCAACCCAGCATCCTACGGTTGAATTCAGAAAATCCACCTATTTTCAGTGAACTGATTGCGCAAAATAACAATGAGATGCTCACAGTAATCTGATCGGCAATTGTAATAATGAAGTCGCATATCAATTGTGGCAGGCCATGGTATTGATAATCAGACACATTCAGAGTTTACCGACTCGTGGATCTGTGTAAAATCCACCATGTTTAGTAGCAAATTTTATAACTTGTGTTAGACGAAGCTTTGACCTTAATACATATCCGTCGTATTTTACTTCAGTAAATACAGCTGAGTATCCTTTAGTTTATATTCTGTTCTTTAGCCACTGAAAATCTGCGGTCCATCTAATCCGTTTAGATAGAATAGTGGAACCAACCATTTGTTGCTGTGTAAAACTTGAACGCTGAAGTACAATGTAGTCAAATATGATTCCTAATATTCTGCTAATCATAGTGCCAACATAAGTATTAGTTGCTGCTTAAAACCAAATTTATCCTTCTGACAAATGCTTAGTTTCGTTACTCACTTCCATATCGACAAATTCGAAGCGAATTCCGCTGGCGTTTGTAGCGGACAGTGTGGTAGTGCAGAACATCTTGGGTGGATAATGCCGAAGTTCAATACTTCCCTCTGATTCACTCGGTTGCGGAAGTAAGCAGTGACTTTGTATATCTACATAGAATAAAAACAGAGAGGTTAATGCAAATGCAACAATGCGAACAATCAGTAACCATACAACAAGTTCCAGAAATTCCCCACAGTTATTTTCAGTATGAGATAGAAGCAACATATGTACTAATATGAGCTGCTATGTGTTTCCTATTAGCTACTATTAGTCAATGACATTATGAGAATACACAGCTTATTTGTTTCAAAAAACGTCAGCTTTAACTGTTGATGCATCAGGAGTTGGACGCCTAATTATCCTCAATTTGTTATATTCACTTTTCTGATACAACTCAATACAGCTTGATCCTCGTCAAATTGTGCACGTATCCCGTGGGCACTAACAAATTGGTTTGTTTTACATAACTGGTAGATATAGTCGTTTGCGTTGAGTTTGGCTAAAACTGACTTTTACAAATCGGTCATACAATTAAACATGTCACTTCATAAGCGTCTTACTGTACCCCAATGGCGTGAGGCTTGTGCAATGTAGACACAATCCAAAGCCTGCTATAGTTTAGAGTAGAACCATATGTGGCATGTGCAATAACAAAGTATTGCGCAAATACAACGATGAACTGATCCGACAAAGGACAGGCCCAAGTTTCGTTCATATATCACTTGTGACTCGGTAACTTAGTGGTGGCTGTAGATATACATCGTTTCATCTTGAACATAAAGAAACCGGCAAACTCTAACCCATATATGTTCTAATCCCACCCCTCGATCTTCTAAGGAATCAGTACACAATATTCTATGGAATATGGCGACCGTTAGCCGGCAACATCATCGCATTCACGATGAGTTAAACCTTCAATAAAATATGTCAAGATCGGTCAATACCAATATACTTCCAAAATTTGCTCATATAAAACGTCTTTCTCTAACGAAAGTTAAGCTTGTAAAGAGAGATGCTGAAATATATTGAGTTTCAACGCTGATTCGCACGGTCTAGTGGCATCTATAGAGAAGTTTACTTGAATCAAATTTATGATATATATTCTTTTGTGTTGCTGTATAGTGACCATATCGCTGCCATTTTGGTTACTATAGGATGTATTCTTAGCAAACGAAAATTCGCAACACTGACGTGCGTACTAGTTAGCTGTGCTGAGCAAATCGATTCCTGATGCAACTTTTACAGCGTCACACAAAGTAAATAAATAGGAGCATATTGAAGCATCGTATTAAAGCTGTTGATTAAGGGGACGAACAGTGAACAATGATTTATCACGGGATAAAAGCAAGTGCTTAACACGTCCCGTAGGATGGTTGGGGTGAATATGATGAAATCATAATATTTCTGAGACAACTACCGAACGTCTGCCTAGATGAACACTTCGAAAATTACATCAGTGTAAAAGTTAACAAAATCGGGCTTAAACTTTCAGAAATACACTGGGGTTCAGTAATCCTTGAGGTAAGGCGTGAGCAAAGTAAAATATGCTCGCTTACTTGCATTCCTTTGATACATAAATCCTGTTGAAAAGCATGCTTGGCGTAATCCACAATAGAGGAGTTTAGTTAACAAAGTGTTGGGAGTTAAGAACAACATCTAATCGTTTTTGAAAACGTCCAAGATAGGAGAGGATACAACTGAGTCTGGGAGTGCGTTCAAGTGTTGGCAAACCCGAAGGGAAAAGTAATTACGTCGGCACTCTAGACGGCTATATTGTTTTTCAATTTCAAGCAGTTCCCCTGAACTGCGTGTTGTGGCTACGTTTCAGCAACTGGCGGCATACGTAGTGGGGGTCACTCATTATCTGATACGCTAATATGAGATCGCCGTGCAGCCTTCGATGGCGTCCGCTGAAAATTCCAGGCAATTTCAGCCTTCGGTGGTTAGCGTGATAGCGCAGGCCATTTACGTTCCATGTTGCTCTTCGTTGAGGTGCCTCTAAAGACTCTAGGTCGCGCTTCAACCAAGGTTGCCAAGCTTGGATAGAGTATTCCAGATGCGGGCGCACGTAGTAATTGTGCATCATTGGGAAGATTGATGGGTCAAATCTCCCGAATGCACTTCGCAGCATGCGGAGGTGCTGGTTGCCTCTTTTCACAGCTACCTCAGCCTTTCTCGAACAGCTGAGGTCGCTCTGTACGAGCACTCCAAGGTCACGTTCATGGTAGGTATTTTGTAATCCGTTTGTCCCAAGTAAATCGGTGTAATTATGTCTATGGCGTAATTGCATAACGCGACGTTTATCTACGTTGAATGGTACGGCGTTTTGAACTGACCAGTTCGACACTGTGTTAAGATCGCACTGGAGGCGTTTGTGGACTTCCATTGCAATATCTTGATATCATCAGCGAAAAATAGGAAATCGGAAGCAACTGATGGCGCCAAATCGTTGATGAACACCAAGAATAGACGTAGTCCAAGAACCGAGCCTTTTGACACATCACACGGCACATTAATGGCATCAGACAATGAGTATCGGACTCTCGCCACTAGCCGTCGTTCTTGTAGAACATTGCTAATCTAACTCAGGATTGGGTCGCCAATGCAGTAATTGCGTAGCTTCTGAAGGAGAATACGATGCTTTAAGCGATCAAACGCTTTTGAAAAGTCCAGGTAGATGACATCGGCTACTACTCCATCTTCAACAGCTTCAGTCCAGCTGTTATGTGCAATCAAAATGTTAGTATTACACGAATGTTGTTGACAAAAGCAATGTTGCTCTGGGGCTATTAAGTTGTAGCTTTACAGATACTGCATCAGTGCATCTGCGATGAGATTCAATCATTTTGGATAGCACAGGAGGTAGTGTTGTTGGACGGTTATTGGTAGGATCAGTGCGGCTACCTCCTTTATGAATAGGAGTGATGATCCCTCGCTTCCATACTGGTGGAATACGGTTCTTTGCTAGACATTGCTGATAGAAAACGACCAGTGGTTGCACTAGATCACTAGCTATCGCCTGCAGAGCCTTTGGTCGGATGCTGTCGGCTCCGGGAGAACTGTAGTTACGCACGGATAACAAATTCTTCAATACAGCTACCTCACTGAAGGTGAGGTTGTCTAAACCAGATTGTGGAGTATTAGAAATGAAGAGAATGCGTGGGTTCGTTACCTGCTTTAAAGTCTGGGAGTAATGTAGCTGTAAGAGATCAGGTGATTCCATTACTGATCGCGTGCACCCATCAGCCGTTGCTAGTGCTGGAACCCTGCGCTTCACGTTTCCAAGGCCGTTAACGGGCCTGTACAGAAGTTTGCGTTTCGTGCAGAATCGATCCACTAACTCCCGCCAATGAGTGACCTTGTCTTCGCGGATCAGTTTCACACAGAAATTACGATGTGTCACATATGAAGTCCAGGTTTCGGCATTCGAGCATTTCTGGTGATCTCGCCGTGCCAAATCCTGCCGGGACACACATTTATTGTTCTGCTCCTCAGAAATGACTTATGCTTGTTTTTGGGTTGAAAGGACGTTTGTTCTGATGTGTGCGCAATCACTGGGCTAAACGTCCTCATAAAGATTTCCAGGCAACAGCTGGGAGCATTCAGTTAAGAAAGTCCAAGATGTATCTTTAACAAGATAACACATTGTAGTGCACGACAGTATTCACTTTATCATCATCCTTTTCAGAGTACTCCGCATGGCATATATAGTCAAAGAGTAAAGTAACATGATCGTTACGACCCAGGGGTTTGCTTGTAACTATCCCATCAACCATGAGTTCTTCATTAGTTAGCATGAGATGATCCAGTATCTACGGCTTGTTAGCAGTTCGATATCTGGTGGGAGAGGTTACGTGGTTGTGCAGAGGGTGGCTAGAAATTAGCTCTTGCAACCAGAATTTAAACTGAATATCGCCGGTGGCTGGCGTTTCTATGTCGTGCACCTTAAAGTCTCCAGCGATAAGAATTTGAGTGTAAGGCTTTCTCAAACCAAACTGAATGACGTGGTTGAGTTTGTACTCCATTTCCGTCGTTGAGTTTGGTGGGCGGTAAATCCCGGTTAGTAGACATGTGTCCTTGTTTCGCAACCATAGGCGACACCCAAGCGAGGCAGGAGCTCGGATTTCCAGGTGATCGACAACTTCACATCCGAGGTTTGTAGTAAAGAATCACACGGCTACCACTTCCGGTTCTATTGGTCCGGAGCAGTGACATACCGGGTAAATTGATCGCAGAATCGGTTGTGTTTAACTATGTCTCTGTAATCATGACGAGTTCCTGCGGTTGTGAGGCATGGAGTTCTCTAAGTTCGACCAACATGCTTAAAATGCCTTGGGCGTTTGTGTACATGAATTTAGGGCTTCTGTTGTTAGCCCTGCGTCGACGGATGTCAAATTTGTGTTAATTTTTAAGCCGTCCATTAGGTGGCCGGGTATGAATCGTATTTTAGTTTATGTATTTCAGTCAAGTTGCATGGCATTGTTGAACGTTCCTAAGCAGACGTTTCATTCGTTCTGTTTTCTGTCCTGTTGTGTTCCGTGGGCGCTGTTGTGTCGGTCTCTCCGCAGGACTGTGCAAATAAAGAAGTTGTAGCATTTGCAAATTCCATCGAATTTCTTCCGATTTTTGACTGTTCGCCTGCTGCCTTTAGCCGTATTTCTGTTGGCAACCTAGCTCGAAACTTGAACCAGCTATCTAACAGAACTTGCGTCATTCCCTCGGAGTGTAGTATTACTTTCATTAGCCTTGGACCGAAGCCGTTGTATTTAGGTGATGACGGAACTCTTCTCAGGGATTTGGCAATGACATTTTCAACAGAGAGTGCTTCGCGGATGTAACACCACTGCTGTCGGTCATGTGTTTGCGCATCGTTATCAGAAGAATGCAGAAGTAACGTACGTTAGAAAGGCTTTCCAATGTTGGGTTACAAAATCTTTTGAACTATTCCCTTGGTATCCCAAGCGACCATACTGTTTGGTCAGCTTTAACTAAAGACCGGTGAGTTAAGCTTCGCGTTTCGGTTTGAGCAGTTGACAAAGGTTTGCTTGGGACTCCACAGTGCCCTATGCGTCAGTGTCGAATCAAAATGAATTCGCTGATGCAATTC